CTTGCAGTAGCTTCCAACTTTTGATGAGGAAAATCGCAAAATATGTAGCATTCGTCGTATCACTTGCTATTACGCCACTCCTTTACATGTATTACAGCGATAATGAAGTAACCAAAGGTTCGACAAGTATTATTTTTTAATACAAGTCGATATTTCAAAAATGCAAGCTATTAGTAAAACTATAGGACAGGACTTGCTCTCAAAAAGAGGTGCTCCAATGAAAAAGACGAGCGAACGAAGGAAAGATCACATTGAAAGCTGCGTGCCGCACTATGAGCAGTTACATCGACATATGCAGTTACGTACTGGTGATCGTGGATGGAAAGCTACAGAATTGTCTCTTATCGCTTCCTATGATTATGAGAATTATTCAGTGGTCACCATCGAAGCTGACGGTTGGTTTGGGTAAGTTATCTAATAGTTTTTCAAAATTTTCAGTGTCTTCATAAGTAATCAGGGACAATGCTTCATATACATAGCGGGAAATCTAAAGCGAGCTAGGAACAAAAACTAAGGAAAAAAGGGCCATTATGTGCGGGCCAGCTACGCCTCTAATCAAGCACACTGTTTCGTTGTAAACAGCGGCACCCTGAAAGCTTTGTTGGGTATAGAATCAACGCACGGTGTGGTAGGAATAGCCCTCCTCGCATGCGCCATACTCAATTCGATGGAAGTCGTGTGCGCAGCTGAGAGAATAGTGCACTCTGACGGAGCATGCGCGACGCGTCAGGCGTTAGTCTGTGCCCCTTATAGTATTGAGGGTGTCATTTATCTGAGAGGAATTGGGTTATGGAAAATCTGCAAGTTCTACTGGTTCCTAAAAAATTATCAAATCAACGCCACTAGCAGGGACATACTTGGGGTTAGGGGAGCGATCCAAAAAGGCTTTAGCGGAAACACGCGTTTTAGTAAATTATGAACCTTCTAACACAAATGGACCATTAGCTGAACCAGCCTTCGTACTGCTCTTACTCTTCCATCCTGACTTTGTGAAGTTTAGGAAAACCATGTACTGCCGTTACTTCGATGAAAATCATAACGAAGTTCATCCTGCTATTGAGTCGTTCGTATTTCCCGAATTTGCTGTACACTGCTGTAGACGCAAGTTTGCTCAATTCATGAGTGTCACTGAGAGTCCACTTGACAATGTTACAGAGTATGCTGTAGTCCTGGACAGGCGTAACGATGGTAAGCCTCATAAATTTTGCCTAAAGGTGAAATATCATGATTCACATTCCTCTAAAATTAGCGTAGAACCTAAGCACTTTCTCTCACTTTGTCTGGCACCAATGTATGGAGATGAAAGAAAATGGCTGTTTCTTGCGGAGCTCATTGAACACTATAAAATACACGGTGTTGAGTATTTCTACTTATACATCAAGGATATAGACGATTACACATACAAAGTAAGCTTTTCTTATTTTTTCCTCTTTTCTGTCATAGGCTATCATACCCGTTCACGTCATACATTTTCTAGAAATTCAATTTGAAGCTAAGAGACTAGGTCCGCAGCTGGCAAGTAGGGCATCGGCTGCACTATTACACGCGCGCGTTTTTGCTAAACTTCATAATGCAAATTGATTGACTGATGGGCGCGTCTCCCACACGTCCCCCACCTAGTGTCACGTAGCCCATGATGGTCATTTTTATTATGTGATTATGATGCGATTTTTGGTTTAATACGAATCTACCGTTTGGATTGTTTCTAATCATAGAATCGCAATATGACAGTATTTGCAGTTGATTGAATATTATGAGAATAGCGGACTTGCAGAAGTGATCTTTTTTCGGAAGTATAACGACCGACCAGGAAAAGAATGGCAACTTGTTGGTACAGAAGTGGGTTCTTCGAAATGAATGGCTGACTATATATCTTTGAGCGCAAATTTTGTGAGAAGGCCATTATCACCTTGACTACTGCACCTTTTAGGATTGTCTCCAACGGAGTCGACACCATTCCCGCTATGTGATATTTCAAGATCTAGACGAAAGGATAATACCTTCAAGAGGTGTTACAGTGAGAAGTTTGATAATGTTAGCTATTTACTACTCGATAACTCAAAATGCAATGACAATAAGCTTAAGGGAGGAGCTGGCTTCTAAGCCATTAACTGCCATGATTGCCATCAGCTCCCAACGAATTGAGAGGACTCATTCGCCACCACTAAAGTACAACGTCAGTCACTTGTATAGAGTTTTTTTTTTTTAAATCTCATGAGAGAATTAGAAAGTAAGCTTTGATGTTGCAGGGCAATGACACCTTGAAGGTACACTTACCTACTTTTGTATTTCACAAATTCTACGCGAAAAGCTTGGCCCTCAATCCGCCAAAATGTGTGATTGATCCTAGAAAAGTGAGAATTGCTTCATAATCTATTTTAGAGGTCTATTACGAATTTAGTCGATTATAGGATATACAATATTTTTAAGGTTCTTCTGATGTGGGTTCATCATGTTGCGTTGTACTTTCCAGGATACACCGGCAT